CGGGGGTCCCTGCCCATGGCAGGGGGGTTGGAACTGGATGATCTTTGAGGTCCCTTCCAACCCAAACCATTCTGTGATTCTGTGATTTCTAAAGGCTTCCAGACAGCAGCAGAGGGGCTGTCTGCCCGGGACGGGGAGAGCACAGGCGCTGTGTTCCCGCCCAAAAGTGAGACATAACGGCACGTCTCCAGCTCTGTCTTTTAGTTACCTTTTCTTTTAGTTGCCTTTCTTTAAATCTGCCCCTCAGGCAATGGGAAGATGCACCGAAACAGAGTGGTTGTTGTTATCCTGATCGTCTGCACAAGGACGTGCGAAAAGGAACATGGATTCAGCCGTCTGCCTGCAAAATTAGCCCGGGGAACAGCCCTTGCTGTCTTTCCTGCTGGTTTCGCTGTTGCTTACACGCTGCGGGGTGGGAGTGAGGGGTCAGGACGCCTTCGTGTCCATGGGAGCATGCTGCAAAATGCTGGGAAGAGCTCGGAGGTGCTAGACTGCGTGTGTGTGTGTGTGTGTGAACCCCGGTCACATTCCCGGCAGACGTTTCGCGTGGAGAGACGGTGTGGGCACCTGGTCCCCGGGGAGGAAGCCCGGGAACTGGGCTCCATGCCACACAGTGCCCAAGGCAGCTTGGAGCCAAGCCCGGCAGCTGGCCCACGACTTTGGCGCTGTCCTGTTACACCACCTCTTCCACCCTCGGCACTGGCGCTTGCCAGGGGTCCTGCAAACACCACTCCTGGTCTTGCAGTGGCGAGGAGAAGACCTAATGCCTTCAACTCGTGACTGAGATACGGTCAGGGTGAGCAGAAGCATCTGGATAGGGAGGACGTTGAGGTGCTGGAGCGGGTTCAGAGAAGAACAGCAAAACTAGTGAAGGGTTTAGAGAACTTGTCCTATGAGGAACGGCTGAGGGATCTGGGACTGGTCAGTCTAGAGAAGAGGAGGCTCAGGGGGGACCTTATTGCTCTCTACAATTACCTGAAAGGGAGTTGTAGGGAGATGGGGGTTGGTCTCTTCTCCCACGTTAGGAATGACAGGACGAGAGGGAATGGCCTCAAGTTGCGCCAGGGGAAATTTAGGTTGGATATCAGGAAAAATTTCTTTACAGAGAGGGTTGTGAAGTATTGGAACAGGCTGCCCAGGGAGGTGGTGGAGTCCCCACCCCTGGAGGTGTTTCAAAACCGTGTGGATTTGGTGTTGAGGAACATGGTTTAGGGACCCTGACAGTGCAGGGTAAACGATTGGACTCGATGATCTTGAGGGTCTCTTCCAACCAGATGATTCCATGATTCTATGAAGTAATATTGCAACGCTGTCATCTTGCTGGGAGCCCTTCCTGGAAGGGAAGGCAGTTTTGTTGTAAATAAAATCGATGTTGCTCTGGCAGTCTCACCATCACCCCCCCTCCAAACTCACAAGCACCAAGACACGCGTGCCCTGGTGGTCCGGCTGGGTTTCCTTGCCGCGGCACTGAGGACGAGGGACTGCAGCTATTGCATCCTCGTCGCATCTCCTGGGCTTTTCTTAGGTTGGTGACCGTGTATCGGTTTTGGATGTGCCCATTTTTACCTCTTAGGAGCTGGTGGTGATTTTCCCTCCATCCTGTTCCTCTTCTCCGTGAGTTACGAGGATCCACTCTCTGGCTGGTGTCTCTCAACCCGATGTTCCAACTAGTTGGTGGTAGACATGAGCCGAGAGCTTGAGGACCTGCTGACTGTGGTGCGTCACAGTTTTGTCATCTCTCCTTCTGCCTTCTGCGGCTTCCAAAGCCAGACCTTCCTACTCATAGAATCATAGAATCACAGAACAGTTTGGGTTGGAAGGGACCTCAAAGATCATCCAGTTCCAACCCCCCTGCCATGGGCAGGGACACCCTCCACTACACCAGGTTGCCCAAAGCCCCATCCAACCTGGCCTTGAACACCTCCAGGGATAGGGCAGCCACAGCTTCTCTGGGCAACCTGTGCCAGTATCTCACCACCCTCAGAGTGAAGAATTTCTTCCTTATATGCAATCTAAATCTCCCCTCTTTCAGTTTGAATCCATTGCCCCTTGTCCTGTCACTACACATCCTTGTCCAAAGCCCCTCTCCAGCTTTTCTGTAGCCCCTTTAGCTACTGGAAGGCTGCTGGAAGGTCTCCCTGGAGCCTTCTCTTCTCCAGGCTGAACAGCCCCAACTCTCTCAGCCTGTCTCCAGAGCAGAGGTGCTCCAGCCCTTGGATCATCTTCGTGGCCTCCTCTGGACTCACTCCAGCAGCTCCATGTCCTTCTTGTCCTTCTTCATCCTCCATCCAGGCCATTCTCAATGTTTCTACTGCAGATCCCTCCTTACAGACATATCTGGAGCCCTCCAAGCCAATCTGCAGAAAC